ATTTTTACTGTACAACATCAATTTAGAGTAAACTTTTGTTTTAGATAAATATTGAAATATATTTTGAATTAGTTAAATGTCAGAATAAAGAGAGACAGAGCTTCTATTTTTTATCACTTTCATTAAATTTAGGAGTACATATACTCTAAGTTTGTTAATTAATAAGAAAACTCCAGAGGATTCCATTCTGAGCTGAAGAAGCTTCTGATAGGTTAGTAGAGTCCATGTGAGTAAACTGGTGGCACAGCTGTGGATGCATATAAGGCAAAACACAGAGCCTGTTTCTGTAACATGGGAAAATCAAGAGATGTCAACCAAAACACCAGGAAAAGAATCGTGGAGCTCCATAAGTGTGGCTCAAGTTTGAATACAATTTGGTGCCATTTGCGATTAAGAAACACAGACAGTTTCTCTCTTTACTCTTAAAGTTAACAAATATGTTTTTATATTTATCAATCTAAAAAAATAAACATTTAGTTTGATTTGATGTTACAATTAAAAAAGTGTTTGTGTTTTGATCTGAAGAGTTTGTAAATATCTGGTTTCACCTGTATATTTGATGATTGTCAGCACACAGAGGGAGAGAGAGGAACAGAGAGGGACAGAGAGGGAGAGCAAAATGAGGACAGAACAGAGGTGGAACAAGAACAGGTGAGACACACATGTTAGTCAAATGGTTGCTTACTAAAAGTATCACTGTATCATAGGTACTCATGTATCTCGTACCTAGTGTTTCTTTTTAGGTTTGTTATTTTTCAAATTCTACATTTATTAAGTTCTGCAGGCTTGTTTGCACAACAAGGCTAAATAATTATATAAACTTTTCTCAATCTAAATAGTGGACTTTGGTAAAATTAAAAAATAAATGTAGTGCAGGTCTATGATGATTTTTAGTGCTACTATCATCTAGTTCTGATTATGGTTCTGTTTTGGTTAAATCCTCAGTAGTCCTGATTTTGAACTGTTGCAGTCCTGTTTTAATTCTGGATCAGTTCTGCATCTGGTTGAATTGGGGTTTAGTCCTCGTGTCTTGATACAGCCCCGACTTCGTTCTGTCTTGCTGCTTAATTAAAAAACTAGTTTAAGGTGTCCTGCATGTGTGATATATATATTTCCCTATATGAAGTCATTCTTTTTGAACAAAACTCAAAACAGAGCCTATTAATCTTTCAGTCATTTCTACACCCCCCCCCCCCCCCCCCCCCCCCCACTTCAAAAAAAAAAAAAAATCCCACATGCATACTACCCTTTAGGGCTAAGCCCCGGGTGTTTCAAATGTCTGGCTCCTCCTCTGGATACCACACTTTCCGACACTTCCATTACTGAGCTTGTGTTGCAGCTGATTAAATGGAATCTTCTCCCTTTTGAATCTGTTACTCATGTTATGAGAAATGAGAAATAAAATCAAACAAATGCCGAAGGATTAAAATGGCAAAATACCATATTTTTCATTTCCCAAACTGCACACGCACAATTTGTCCCATCAACAGCAGGATTCAGCAAAACAAGACGTCCTTCAGACTTTAAAGTGTTGTCAGTTAAACGAGGAGGTGGCTGGAGAGAGAGTTCTGAGCTTCTCTGCTTAGCCTGCTGCCCTTACAACCCGGACCCAGATAACCTGAAGAAGATGTATGGATGGATAATAATGATAAAAAATAATAATAATAATGCACTGCACATGTCATTTATATGCTCCTGCATTTAAACACTGATTTCAGCCACCAAGGTGTGAGTGAATAAATCCAACACAATTCCCACCCTGAGATTAAGATGGTTGGATCATTGCTTACTATGTCCACCCCCAGAAAAACGCACCCCAAGTCTTGCGATTTACCAGAGTCTGTGCAGGCTTGTCCATACCTCTTCCCTTCTTGTTTGTCTGTTTTAGCCCTTAGGTACAACAGGTTGAGCAGCAGGAGAGTGGAACATCATCGTTAATAATAACTGAGTCCAATTTGGTTATGAAGAAATCTTAGAGGGTTTTAACTTTGTTTTAAAGCTTGTGAGTAGCTGTGTTTGCTGTTTCCTGTGTGAGAAACCTCTGAGTCGGCTCCCCAGTCTGTGGACTTAGTGGTGCTGAAACTCAGGATGCTGCTCTATGTCCTTGGTGCTGAAAACTGAGCTTAACACGACTAATTGATTTTGTGAATTATTTTGATAAATAACCAAAAGGTGTGACTGCAATAAGCTGGTGTTTTCCTGCTTGTCTTTTATCCTTGAAAATGTTATTTTATTTTATTTGGGACTGAGAACTGAGAACATGAAGATGTTTTACCTGCACTGAAATGTGTGTTTTACACTTGAAGAAAAAGGAGAGTTCAACGTTTTTAACAGGTGTTCCCAATAAAGTGGCCAGCAACATAACATAACATAACATAACATAACATAACATAACATAACATAACATAACATAACATAACATAACAACACGGTTTTTAAATGCCAGGTGACGCCACAGCTGGTCTTCTGGTGAAAACGATCCCGTTGCACCTCTGACTGCTGACAGAACACCTCCAGACATAAACAATATCAATCAATACACTGATTATAGTCTCATGAATTTAAGTCCGAAAATGTTTTGGGTCTTTTGCATGTGGGCAATACTGACCATGTGCAATGGGCCACATATTTTAGAAACAATCGTTGTTGAGTCTTTTATTGAGGTCTCATAGTGACTGTTTATGGTCCAGCTCCAGGGTTTAATAGCCACCATAGTGAGTTTTCTTTTGGAGACAATTTAGCAGGGTTGAAAAAACACCTGTTTCCCTCGTTTTCAGTGACTCACACCTTTTCCCTCCATCCCACTCCCCAGGGGTCACTGGCTGGTTGCGTTTCCAGCCCTACCAGCCAGTGACAACCAATCACTTTGTCTGACTGGCTGTCGATGAAAGTTTGATATATTGATATGTTGATGACAGTGATCATCAGAACTTCTCCAGCATCTTGATCTAATAAAATTACCCAAATAAAATAATAAAATAAATAAAATAGCTTTTTAAATAATAAAATATTTTTATTTTCACACTGAACCACAACTCTGTCTTAAGATTCAAACTAGATATTCTCTTGGTGAAATTCCCAGGGTGGGGTTTTCGGGTTTTCCATTTAATGTTAAAACCTTTTGAGCTCCCAGTTTCCATGGTGCCATTTTAGTGTTTGATTTTAAAATCGTTGGTTCATTCCAATTTTCCTCATTATTCCCACGCCCCTCAAACAGGGGAAGGGAGAGGGAGAAACTAGTATTATAATATTTTAAATCTTGTCAAAGATACATTATGTGAGGATTTACAGATATCCTCACATTATAAAAAAAAATATGAAAACACTGATTGGCTGTAGCTGACAGTTTGATATGTTGATGACACTGCACATGATGTCAGTGATGACATCATCTTCTCCAACATCTTGATCTGATTAAAATGAACAAAATTAAACAGTAATATGAATTAAATATCTAAAACAGAGATTAATTCTAGGAAAGTTGTTACTGTGATCACGATACATGTGAACTTTATTCATTATATAGACACAAGTCATCAAATAACTTAAAAAAACAATACCTATACTCACACAGCACTTTTTTTCTTAATTCTTCATTTTTCAGAATTAAAACATTTGTTAGTTCACATATATGAAAAGAAGCATGGAAAAATTATCCTCTGTTCTCTGTGATCTGTAGCTTGGTTGATGAACAAATCCATGTCCATGTAGTTACGTCCCCCTCAGTGAGAGAGGCAGATATGAGCTGAAACACAGGAATCAAACCAGGGACGCTGCTGTTATGGAGCTGAACTGGAACCATTCAGACACTGAGGCCCTCTGAACACATTTTAATTACAGCTGTGCAGAGACACACTGATGACTGACTGGAACACTATGATTCACATTTTACATCAACACCATCCTCACACATGGTTTATATTTGGCCACTAGAGGATTGTTTTATAAGTGAGCATACTGTGTATGAAAAACATGATGTGTTGTTCCTAATAAAATGGCAGTGTTACATTTAATATTGGATACATTTTAATTAACTTAAAAGAGATTAAAAGTCACATGAACAGGATGGAGAATAATATAACTATGATTGTTGAAGAGTGTCTCTGCCTTCTGATCAGGCTGTAATACGTCCAATATAAACTCTAAGGAAGAACTTATTTATTCCACTGTATAGTGAAAAGTAAGATATTACATACACACACACACACACACATATATATATATATATATATATATATATATATATATATATATATATATATATATATATATATATATATATTTTTTTTTTTTTTTTTTTTTTTTTTTTTTTTTACTTCACTTTATTCATGATATTTTTTTTCACGATGTCTTGATTACGAATTAAAAGCCCTCTAACTCTGGTGCAAAAATGCTTCATTTCTTAACAAGTCTTTTATTGTGAAACACTTGCAGGAACATGTTTTTTTTTAAAATAAACTGATCTTGAATTAATGAACTGTGAGAGCAGATTAATATTATCATGTGGTATGAAATTCAACTGAAATTCAACTGAAGCGCTTTCAGAAACTGAAAGAGCATCTTATAGTGACAGGTTAGAAATATGAAGAAATGTGATTGCGGTATGTTGATGACACCTCGTGTTTGCACCAAGCTCTTTCCATAGAAAAGTAAATTTAACTTGAGTCATGTACATAACAACAAAAACTGCAGAGAACTATGGGATTCTAGCTGTTCTGCTGAAGGTTATGAGAGGAGAGCTCTGTCAGCTATGTTCAAAAACAAACAAAAAATTAATCTGATGTTGTTTGGTTTAATGATAAAATTGTGTTTTTTATTCTTCAAACATACCAGCATCTTTGAACACATCTAACTGGATGCAGTAGAATGAGAGAAAGTGAAGACATCTGCTGGAAAATCAGCATCACCATCACTCATCACTTTTCTTTTCTTTGATTGAATTTAGAATACTGACTATTTTGATTACTGAATTTTAATAATTTCTTGATTTGTAAAGCTTTCAGTTTTATGCCAAATGATGTTGGTTAAAAGTAAACAAACAACACAGTATTTACTTAGACAGGAATTTTCTTTTCTTTTTTTTTCTACATTTTCCGAGAATATCTCCTGCTGATATCAGTCCCGTTTTTTGTTGTTTATGTTTCCTGTAGCTATAGAAACCTAGAACCAGAGCAGCAAGACAGATACAAGCAGACAGACTAACTATGAGTCCAACAGATCCATCCTCTGTGTCTCCTCCTGTCTGACCTGCAGGTGAGAAACAGGTGTGAGGTGTCAGCTGTCAGGTAGGTGATGAGTGAAGAACAGAACAGAATCCATTTCCTCTTCAAACTGCTGTCAGACATTATCTACTGCACTCTGATCACATCACTCAGACCAGCTGCTTTCTACAAAGTCTCATCAACAACATCTTTAGAAACAAACATCAACAACCAGGAAGCAGCTTCACCTCTGATCACACACACACTCAACTCTACTCACTCACCTGGAGGATCAACAACACTCAGTGTAAAGGATGCAAATGGGTTCGTTCTTCAATAGGGCAACCCGTCCGCGGTTTGGTCTTCCATTGATGACGCGACATTTATATGTTCCAGTGTCATTAATCGTCACATTGTTCAGAATCAAAGACACGTCTCCACCCTTCATCTGTCTCTCCTGCAGATCCACCCGGTTCTTAAAAGATGGATGCTGCTCTTCTGGATCAAACTGTTCATCTCTGTACAAGAGGACATGTTCCATCTCCAGATCGGCTCTGCTCCACTCTGTAACTATGGTGTTGTCATTCGGAGCTCTACATGTCAGAGTGACGTCCTGTCCAGACTCAGCTGTGATAGTTTTCTGCTCTGAAAGAGGAAAATTCAGAGCAGAGAGGTTATTGAATTATTTGTATTATTTTAATGTATTGTATTATTGATCTTTTGTGGTTACCTTATTGCTATGCTGAGTGACTGTGTATTTTCACTAATCAAGAATCCTAATTATTAATGACTTTACTAGGAGGCTTTGTCTTTTACACATGGGATCAGTTAATGAGTGTGCCTATGGTAGTTATCCAGAGGCAATACGGTGGAGTTGCCGGGCTCCAGAGGTGGAAGTAGGTGAAAATAAAAGAGGGAGAAAATATGAAGTGTTCATTGTGATTGTCACCATGACAACAAATGCTGCCAATGTGCAACTGCAACCCCACCTCCACCCATCAGCACATCTGAATATTATGACAATATCTACAAAAAATAGGATTGTTATTATGCAGGCAGCTGCTGTATCATAGCTTAAATTTATACTGTAACCAAAAAGATTTGTAGCTGTATACCGACAATTGGAACTAAAACACATCACACTGACACACACATTACAGTTCTTTGTTTCTGTGGTTCAAATTGCAGACCAAGCACTTATGTTCACACAAACAACAACTCGTGATGCCCTCTAAGACATAAACAAACTGAATATGAAATATGAAAATAAACATTTGAGAAGTAACATTTAAACAACGCGGACACTGTTTATTTCACTTAATAAAAACATCCTTATAAATCTCACCTGCAGAGACAAACATGAAGACACCGACAAACAGCAGAGCCGATGCAGTTACAGCAGACATTTCCATGTTGTCCAGGTCTGCTGATCCGACACGTTGATTTTCATCCAACACGTTGATTTTCATAAAATCTGAACCTTTGGTATCTCCTGTGAGAGAATAATAGAACCTGACTTTAAAATCTGACTACATGAGATTAAATTTAAGGATTAAATAAAACTACAAGATTTGTCTTTCAGACACTCATCCAAACTCAACACTTCTCAACTTCTCTGAATGAAGTCACATCAGAGTGACGAGGCTGGACAGCAGGAAGATCAGAAAGTGCGTCATCATTAAAGAGCAGAACAGGTTCAGTTCTTGAATGATCTCCACAGAACAAAACAAACATATTCACAGTGAGAGACAAAGAATAGCAGAAACAGACATGACTGTAATCAGAGTAGAGGAGAGTAACTGAGTACATTTCCACTTGGTTGAGGTGATTTTTTATTATGTTTGTGTTAATCGACTGAAGCTCACAGACTTCAGTCAACCTGTCAGATTACCTAAAAGACTGAAAGATGTAATTTTAAACACTTACTGTTGTTCTGAAGGATCTCTGACACCTTCAAACACTCTTCTGATCATCAGGATGGAAAAAAATCCACACAAAGATTTCTTCTAAAAGTGTCTGAGGTCACCTTGTTAAAGTGTTCTATATACCAAACAGCCTAATGTGAATGTTTGACAGTTATATTTCAATAACAGACAAAAACAAAAAGATATTTAAAGATAGTACAACATGTGATGGAACAGCCAAAGAGAGAGGAGGTTGAACCAAGAGGAACCAGTAAATTTTCACTTCCTTTCTCTGTGCTGGCAGTGAGTCAACATAAATTTAAAAAAGAAACTGTGGTCATCAAACAAACACTTTAGATGGAATAAGTTGGATGTGTTGGACAGATTGTGGTGGAGGAATCTGAAGTACCCACACAGGAACATGCAGACACTGAAAGGTGGTGGATTCAAACACAGGATCTTCTTGATTTGAGGAAAAAGCGTTCTGCCAACAATGATAATAATAAAAACATAAATAATAATTATTTCCTTCCTTTGCCTTTGAATATAACTGTTGTGGAGACTCTTATTATTAACAGTCTGTCATCTATATTTTATTTATTGATTTTTATTTATGTATATATTTTATTTATACATTTATTTATATTCTTACATTATTTTTTGTCATTATTCTCATGATTGGTTATATTTTTAAGGATCATGACATATGAAAACAGAGATAACTACTTCTGGTTTGAAGACTGTAATCTCTAAATTTACTTCAATGCTCACTATTAGATTCGTCTGTGTTCCAGTCGTAACCTTACCAGTGTGACAACACTGCCACCATGAGGTCAAATTGAAACATTGTACTGAATCATTAACTTAAATATTCTCATAAATACATTAGAAAAGAAAAACAAATTATATATTATATTAGGAACAATGAAAATCTGAAAAAGAAATTAAAAGCTTAAAGTGATTTCCTTTAAGAACACACCGGGGATGTAAGAGAACGGTAAGTGTGGTTTTTCACCTGATGCTGTCATTTGTGACCTGTATCATTACATGTCTATCAAACACAGCTTATACAGAGTAATACTGATAAAAGAACAAAGCTGGTTGTGGATCAACTCAGAAGAATTTTATTCTGATGTTTGAAACCCATCTGCTGCGACCGGTTGGGGTGAGAGAAGGAAGACAGGATAAAAGACATGCTGTGGAAGAGAGACAGAGGTTAATAACAGATATGATTCAATGCAGAGAGGTCTGTTAATACATAGTGAGTGAGAAAGGTGACTGGAAAGGAAAAACTCAATGCATCATGGGAATCCCCGGCAGCCTATGTCTATTGCAGCATAACTAAGGGAGGATTCAGGGTCACCTGGTCCAGCCCTAACTATATGCTTTAGCAAAAAGGAAAGTTTTAAGCCTAATCTTAAAAGTAGAGATAGTGTCTGTCTCCCGAATCCAAACTGGAAGCTGGTTCCACAGAAGAGGGGCCTGAAAACTGAAGGCTCTGCCTCCCATTCTACTTTTAAATACTCTAGGAACAACAAGTAGGCCTGCAGAGCGAGAGCGAAGTGCTCTAATAGGGTGATATGGTACTACAAGGTCATTAAGATAAGATGGGGCCTGATTATTTAAGACCTTGTATGTGAGGAGCAGGATTTTGAATTCAATTCTGGATTTAACAGGAAGCCAATGAAGGGAAGCCAAAACAGGAGAAATATGCTCTCTCTTTCTAGTCCCTGTCAGGACTCTTGCTGCAGCATTTTGGATTAGCTGAAGGCTTTTCAGGGAGTTTTTAGGACATCCTGATAATAATGAATTACAGTAGTCCAGCCTGGAAGTAATAAATGCATGAACTAGTTTTTCAGCGTCACTCTGAGACAGGATATTTCTAACTTTAGAGATGTTGCGCAAATGGAAGAAAGCAGTCTTACATATTTGTTTAATATGTGTGTTGAAGGACATGTTCTGGTCAAAAATGACTCCAAGGTTACTCAAAGCGTTACTGGAGGCCAAGGTAATGCCATCCAGAGTAAGAATCTGGTTAGATACCATATTTCTAAGATTTTCAGGGCCGAGTACAATAACCTCAGTTTTATCTGAATTAAGAAGCAGAAAGTTAGCAGCCATCCAGGTCTTTATGTCTTTAAGACATTCCTGCAGTTTAACTAATGGTGTGTGTTATCTGGCTTCATGGACAGATAGAGTTGTGTGTCATCTTCATAGCAGTGAAAATTTATGCTATGTCTTCTAATGATACGGTCTAAGGCAGGTGTGGGCAATTCCAGGCCCCTAGGGCCGGTGTCCTGCAGGTTTTAGATATGTCCTTGATGAAACACAGCTGATTTAAATGGTTAATTAGCTCCTCAACATGTCCTGAAGTTCTCCAGAGGCCTGGTAACGAACTAATCATGTGATTCAGGTGTGTTGACCCAAGGTGAGATCTAAAACTTACAGGACACTGGCCCTCGGGGCCTGGAATTGCCCACACCTGGCCTAAGGGAATGTATATTCCATAGAATGTAAACAGAATTGGTCCTAGCACTGAACCCTGTGGAACTCCATAATTGACCTTAGTGTGTGAAGAGGACTCTCCATTTACATGTACAAATTGGAGTCTATTAGATAGGTATGATACAAACCACTGCAGCACAGTATGTGAAACTGGAGGAAGTAATTATTGAAGTTAACTCAGAAAGATCGATTGGAGAAAAAGAGTCTAAAAGAACAGCAGTGGTACTAAAAGTAGCTGTAGAAAATGTTACATCTGTGAGATGTAGCAGAGAAAACAGAAAACTACCAGACTGCGGAGAACACAGATGTCATGGATTTGGTTGAGTTACGCAATGATGAGCAGAGAGAAGAGGAAACTTTTTTTTTCTCATGTCCTACACAGAGACATGTGTGCTGGGCTAGAGTGCTGGTAATCTTGTAACATCACCAGTGATCCTGACAGTATATTTACAGCACTTAACTGAAATTGTCCTCACTTTATAATACAATCAGATATTTCTTTGTTTTGCAGTTTTCTTCTTCGGTTCCATTGTAGTTTAGATTAGACAATGTGTGCCCCTTGCAATTTATTGTAAAGCTTACTTACTACTTACTTTATGATCTTATTTTATTGTAAATAAAGTTACTCAGCAGCATATAGGTTATTCCAAACATCAAGCAACATTAAAATGATTCACACATAAATAAATAATTATAATCCAATAATATTGTTGATATGATTCAGAAGAATGCATGAAATTTACATTATAGATGATAAAACATTTGTATTAATACTTAAGTAAGATTCTAACTTTTAATGTAGCAGCTTTTCATATCATAGATGTCTATGAGCACATTTACCTTTAATCTGGACCGATTTTCTACACTTTCTCCTGTTGACCCTCTTTGTTCTTTGTGGTCTCCTTGAAAAAAATCCTGATTCCAACCAGGAAGTTTTGTGATAAAGAAACAACATTTTTTCATAGCTAATCATTACAGTGTATTTACAGAGGAGCCACAGAAGAGAGATGTTCTTCATTCTGCTCTCGATGTCAGATCGACAATTTGACCAGTTCAGTCACTTAGGTCAAAACCTCCTCCTCTTCCCCTGTGACAGGATGGTTTTGGGGGAAAGCAATGGTTTCTCTATTTAAATGCAACAAAGAAGAGAGAAAAAGTTTTCAAATGGTCAAAGTGAACAACACTTACTATAAAGCATCAAAATTAGCTGACATAAAGGGGAACATGGGTACCTCTGTGAGGTCTTCACTGAATGTTAAAACAAACATTGTGAGTTGCTGAAGTCAGTCAGGAAGCCACAGGCAATGATAAAAAGTGTTGGGAAGGTTACTTTTAAAATGTATTCCAATACAGAATACAGAATACATGCCCCAAAATGTATTCTGTAACATATTCCGTTACGTTACTCAATGACAGTAACGTATTCTGAATACTTTGGATTACTTAATATATTATCATGCTTTTTACAACAACGTGAATATACTATTGCTGTGTGATTTATTACTATTACTGAAGGTCCGCGACTCCGAACTGTAGTAAAGGGACCTCTGACTAATCCGGCGGGGTCCCTGTCGGCTCGTAGCCGAAAAATAGCTTTACTTTGTTGTGTGGGTCAACTTTTCTTGCGAGAGACGGAGAGAGGCTTTGAAAGACTGCTCCAACAGAACTTATTGTTTTCGGAGGAAAACACGAACACAGTGTACAGTCGAGTCTTAATAGCTTACTTACAACTGGGCTCGTCAGGCACTCTTCTTGGCTGCAGTGGTTATTATTATATTTACATGCTTCCAGCTCCCGTTTTTCCTCGATGACAACTCGTACCTTTCTACTCCCCTTTTTCTCCCTCCTTGCGCTCACAGACACATAACGTGTATGGCAGTCCATTCTCCCTGCAACACGGACTACACTGCCCATGATGCTACATTCTTTAGAGCTATGCTTGTAGCATTCTGCCTGTTAGCTTAGCACAACAACAACAACGAAAAGGCGCTCTCTCACCCAGGAAACACACAGTCGCAGAGAGAGAGAGAGCGTCGCCCTGTAACCATGGCAACCGTAACGCTGCCGCCTGGAACAACAGAACGTAGCTGTCAAACAAAACCCAAACAGTCCTGACCCGCGACAATATGAAACAGGAAAGTACCGCAGTGTAATCCATTTATTTCAACAAAGTAACTGTATTCTGAATACCACCTTTTTAAAAGGTAACTGTAACGGAATACAGTTACTCATATTTTGTATTTTAAATACGTAACGGCGGTACATGTATTCCGTTACTCCCCAACAAATACAGTTAAATGACAACATGTCAATACCTGTGTGATGCCTTCAGTGACAGCACGTCGTTGAGATTTTTCTTCAAACCTTTCGTATTGAACCTAAATCACAATTAGTGATTTTGTTTAACGTAACTTGTTATCTTCCGATCGTTGATCGTGTAACATATTCGTAGAAACAGTTCGCATCATCCTGTAGCCGACAGGGCAGAAAAACTTCATGTGGGTTTACTTGTCACTGACTTCCTGACATCACAGCTGATTTTTCTTCTCTCGCCCCCCTCTCCCCACCCTCTGCTAATTAAATCATGAAACTGATCAGTGATCAGCTGATTGGCTTTTCTCTCGTTTGTTTATCGCCCACTTTGCTCCACAAAGAGGAAACCAGCGGTAACTGTGCAGGGGAGGGTCTAGCAAAGTAGAGTAGAGTAGAGTATGTGGCACTCATAGGAATCTTTGTATGCAGACAGAGGAATGTCATATAAGGCATTAAACATCCCCTTTTTACCCATCAGCCTTCAAAGGCCTGTTGAGATTTTATGACCAGCCGTTGCTTTAACATAAACCATACTTATCACAGAGAGAATGGATTCCCATTAAGCAGAAAGTGCAGCACATTTGAGTGCAGCCACTTTGTGTTTATCATATTCAGTGTGCTGTTTATTAAAGTGTGGGTCAATTTGAGCAAATATGTTGAAACATGTTTCGTCCCAGTCTCTGCTTGTGTTGGTAACTGAACTTTGATCAACAGTTTTGTTTGTTTTTTTAGATACATTTGAACTTGCTATAACTGGGGAAACAATATTAATGTTTTAATGATCCTGCAGGACATTTCACCCTTAAAACATCCCAAAATTATTCGTATATCATCTGTCTTAGAGCTCAACTAACCCAAACTGGATGCTTTAAAATGAGTGACATAAAGCTCAACAATGTAGCAAACATGGCAAATCTCGCAAAAGAGAGATGATACAGAGGCTGAGACATTGACCTGGATCTGTTTCCTAATATGGTTTAAGTAAAGATTGCAGTCATCCTCTGCCTTTACCAAAGTTTGGGGACACTCTGATAGGGCTTCAATCTGGGACTTTCTCGGATGAGAGGTGAAATGTCTCCAAGAAACTTAAAGAAGTTCTGACGCTTTTCTTTCCAAGTTCCTTAGATTAGCTGGGCATGACGTTGTGCTGAAACATAAGTAAAAAAAAGAAAATACATTAATGTATGCCAATCTAATTACGCATTAGAAATTATAGAAACAATATAAAACAGTTGATACATGGTCATACCATGTAAGATCAAAACATAAGTGAAAAAGCTCATTTTATGGCATAACACACATTAACAAAAATAGAAACAAAGCTAACGCAATCTAAAAATGATTACTAAGCAAACACTGCTTTTCATGTTTTAATGAGAATACCAACTGTGAGTGGTCATCTTTACCATGCTTATACTTTACTACTAGAAATTTACACTAAACCCCAAAACCAAATACATAAAGTATAAACTAGGCACCTATCTGTCCTCAATAGTCCTAGATTCATCTTTTTTTCCCCCCAAGGATGTAGTTTTGTTGCAGTTGGAGTCCAACAACTTTTTTTGATTTTTCTTGCAAAGTGTGCCAGCATTACAAGTTGACCATCACCTCAAGGAGCAAAGTGGGCTGGCACATGCACAGACAGACAGGTGGTGCTCAAGCACAAACCCTGTTGGGCTCTTATTCCATGAGTCACCTTTTCTGTGAACCTGTTTTTATCATTTTTTTAATTTTTGTCACGGGGTGCCGAGGCAGGCCGTGTGGATTAATAACGGACCCAAGATGCAGACTGCTTAATTGGAGGGTGAGCTTTATTAACAACAGGTGAAGTACAACAAAAAAGGGTGGTGAGAAACAGAACGGTAAAAACTCTAAACTGGGAAAACTAAAACTAAACACAAAGCCAGAACACGAACGAGGGTACCTTGCAGTGAGAATGACCAGGAAGCCGGAGGAATAAACACAGAATGACGGCGGGGAATAACGCAGACGAACCAGCAACTAACAGAGGCTGACACAAGGTTAAAATACACAGAAGGATAACGAGGGGATGAGACACAAAAGGAGGGCACAGCTGGGAGTAATCCGACCTGACGAGACAGGGGAAAAGTAAATTGAACACACTGAGAACAGACACGGACCTTCAAAGTAAAAGAGGAAACACATACACGTAATGACATAACACACCAACTTAACACAGACTGGGGGACACAGAACATGGGAACATGAACCATGAACAGAAGAGTACTGATAGGTTTGTAGCTTGAACCCATCCGCTGGAACGTTGAAGACAATATAATTACACTGCTAAGCAAGACACAAATAGGCAAAGTTCTTCATGTTACTCGTGCACGGGAGAGACCGGACAGAGCGCCGTCCCTTCGCTTGACCCCAGTCGCTCTCGTCCGTCCTCCCGTAACACTGTCCTTTTATTGAGGTTACATGAATATGCATAGGTTCATTAACATACGACGTCTACATACAAACAAAGAGTACCTTGCCTGTGTGTGTGTGTGTGTGTGTGTGTGTGTGTGTGTGTGTGTGTGTGTGTGTTGCTGATCAAAGGGTCAAACATCCTTGGTCAGGAAGAGGGTAGACTAGACCCCCCCCGGTGAGGAAGTCCAGCAGTTCATCTAAACAGAAAAGCACTTAGACTAGAACAGACGTAGCTACGTTAATCCTACCATAAAACAATTAAAACAAGATGCGACCTCTTCCCGTGCTCCCAGGATGTAGGTGTGCATTCTAGTGTGGAATGCACACCAAGCCTCTGTAGCCTGTTAAAGATCACACAACTTATCACTACACAATTGATTATACACCTCTAAGCATCTATGGTTAAATATTTCTAAGCATAAATAACAATCAACAATACAAACTCTAACAAGTACAAACACCCAAGGTAACCAAAACCACAGAATACTAATAAACTAAACATAAACACGGAGTCACAGACTGACAATTTTATAACATCACATGTTGATTTTAGAGTGGCCCATGGCATCATTTTTCTAATGAAAAGCATTTAATACCTGGCCATTATCGTTATAATTCTGCTACACCTTACAAACCCTTTTCCTATTCTTGCTGTCACAATGAGCTGCCAGTAGTGCGCCCCATGGAGCAGCATCTCAAATATGAGTAATTTGGACTTTTCATTTAGTGTTTCTTTGGGCTCAGTGCCATCATTGGGTTTTATTTATTGTTTGTTAACTTTCCTGAACTTTGGAATACATTTCATCCCGTTCAGTGTGTTTTATTTGTCTCTCTGGATTGTGTAATCATGAACCCAGCTTTTTCACGTAACCCATCATTTATTGTACATTTGGATCCTCTGATCTGAACCCAGACAGTCACAGCTTTTTCAGCTGAGCTATTTCAGCAATAAGGAGATTCAACAGCAACTGTGAAACAGCACAGACATCATCATGAGAAGTGTGTTTGTTTTCTTGCTTTTGATAACTGTGGCCAGTGCTAAAGTCTTTGAGCGCTGTGAATGGGCCCGTAAGCTGAAGGCAAACGGGATGGATGGCTATGGTGGTGTCAGCCTGGCTAACTGTGAGTACAGCCTGTTACTTAAACAATCTAAGGTGATCAACCCTGGATGGTCACCAAAATAAGCAGTTCACCATTGAAGTGACTGGGATAAGAGTCAGGAGTAGGTTCATCTCTACCCATTTATATGGATATTTGGCACAAGTAACTGGAGATTATATATCAGAACAAAGCTACCGTAGCTTTTTCCCTGAGTGGTTCTCTGGCATCAGTAAGAGTTCAATGAACTATCAATTAATGTCATGTATGGTGCTGATTGTCATGAAGTCAGGTTGAAAGAAAATATAACAGTAACAATTTCTGAGTTTTTGGTAAGACCCTGAAGAGAAATGTCTCTGTTTTGCAATCCAAGTTTGTTTATTTATTAAATGATCAGAGCAAAAGGTTGCACATGGTTTCATGAGCAAAAGTGATTGAATGTGAGATAGAAACATAGAGCATAAAGTCATCTTTCTGATCAGCTTCATCAATTCTTAAATACTTCTTACAAATCTTTCCTCCACTAACCATCATGATGCAACTTTTTATTCCACTGCTTTTTAGAGTTAACATTGGCGTTATAGATGTATCTCACAGCTCAGGTAGAGCCAAGACAGAGGAAGGTTTCTTTATTACAAATTATCCCCACTCTGTAAACTTGCAGTCTGTGTCACAGCTCACATGTATGGTGTGCAAAAGATTCCAGAGTAAGTCAGTGAGTTGGGGTGAAGGAGGTTGGTTCTTGCTTTTGACATCTGTGTGATCTGAACCAATGAATCATTTTTGATGCATGCCAATTAGGAATATGATTAAAATAAAAAATTACACACTCTGATTGTCTGTGATTAGGGTTAATCACAGATGAAACTAAGAAATCAGAGGGTTAAAATATGAAGAGAAGGGACTCTAACAAAGTGTCAGCATGTGAGAAGTAGTTAGTTGAGGATGTGCAAAGGACTCTTGTCCTTTATCTTTCAGGCAATCTGCATTTCCATCTCTTCTGTTCTGTCTGCAGGGGTTTGCCTGACCAAACATGAGTCAAACTATAACACAAAGGCAACAAATCGTAACACTGATGGATCCAGTGACTTCGGCATCTTTCAGATAAATAGCCGCTGGTGGTGCAATGACCGCCGCATTCATTCAGCAAATGGATGCAACATTGACTGCAATGGTCAGTGATGATCTGAGGTTAAGTCTTCAGCAGTAAATCATCTTCAGTGGCTTAATACATTTCTTGATTTATTCTAAAACTGATTTATTTACTTTCTTTTCTCAACCTGCAATATTGATTTTGTGTATGGATAAGTGTTTTTGATAAAAAACACGTTGACTCACTTTTCCCAGATGTTGTCCTTATTATTCCACAGTGTTAACTTTTTTCTTTCCCCCTTCGGCCACAGTGCTTTTGACAGATGATGTCACCTCTGCGATCAACTGTGCCAAACGTATCGTTAGGGAACAAGGCATCACAGCCTGGTAAGAACAGATCATTATGTGATTGGGATGCACTGATAGTTCTGTGTTCATTGGACTGACCTTTGAATCTGGTTTTAGGGTTGCCTGGCGCACTCGCTGTCAGGGCCAGGATCTCAGGCCCTATTTGTTCGGATGTCCTCTTTAATCAACACATAAACAGAAGGGTGTCATCGACATAGTAAATTTTCTCCATCCTCCTCTGTTTCTACTTTGAAAGAAAAACATATTGGGTGATCCAAATGATTAAAAATCAGTTAAAATCTCAATGTTTTTCATTCCTCATTTAAAAAATTAAGAAAATGTGGTCTCATGTGCTCTAAATAAATCAGTAAATATGGAATACTTTGTGTCCTTGATTAGACCTTTTCTTAAGTAAAAACAGACAAGAAACTCTATTTCAGCCCAAACAACGTGTTTTGTTTGTTCAGCTGTATTTTTTTTAAAACTCTAAATCCACCATTGCTTGTATTTCTAATCTTACCCAACCCTTCCCTTGTGCGTATTTGGGTCCTCTTATCTAGTTAGAACTTTTACAAACTTTGGGGATCTTTCTCAGCTGGATCGATATGCTTTGTTTGTACAGCTCTATTTTTTAACCATAAGCTCAATACTGCTTGCTTTTCCACTTTGATGCAAAAGTAAGCCTGGGCAGCAGCTGAGCATTTTTGCCAATAACAGGGGAAAGCAGCAGCAGCTTTAGACATATTTGGACAAACAAAAATACCATCATAAGGAGCCTGTTGGTTTTGCTCTTCCTGGCTGCGGCCAATGCCAAAATCTTCGAGCGCTGTGAATGGGCCTGCATGCTCAGGGCTAATGGGATAGATGGCTACTATGGAGTCAGCCTTGCCGAATGTGAGTACTATACTGTCAGCTTAAGAAAATACAAGATAAGATTCAACTTCTACTATGCTACCAGTGAAATGTTTTATTTAATAGTAAGGTTACTGTTATCCATGTAACAACAACGCATATCTTCAGACATATTGATCTGTGTTTTAACTAGGGAAACCCTGTTAAGTCTGGGATTCTGACTAAGCATTAATATGTGACTGGATTTGTTTCAGTGCCTGAGCTTTAGCTTTTTGGTTGGATATAAATCCATCTCTTCTGCTCTGTCTGGTTTGACTCATCCAATGGGAGTTAAACTATAACACCATGGCCAAAAACACCAACAGTGACAGATCAACTGACTTCGGGAGCTTTCAAATTAACAGCTACTTGTGGTGCAATGACTAAATCATCAACTCACAAAATGGTTGCAACATTAACTGTAGTGGTCAGTAATGCGCCTCAGTAGGTTTTTCTCCCAGGGCATCTTGTGGCCTGAGTCCCTGTGAGGTTTAAATCATCATAGGTTCTAATTCTTGCCTTTTACTTTGGGGAAAAGCAAAATTTAATATAGGGGTGAAAACAATAGTTTGGAATGTGTGCCATAACCGTCTTTGGATTAGGAGAACTTCAGAAATTTAATGAAACAAATATTACATTTTCTGCTTGCCTACAGTAAAAAGTGCGAGTTTGCTTTTACCATTTTAAGGTAATTTTCAGCTGCATATTATTCACTAATTATCGAACGACTACTCTTAAAACATGATGTGCTACATTGGGGATAGAAATGTGATCGTATTCTATTCGCCCTCTAGTCTTACAACCACTTCTGGTTTGTGCTCAGTTTTATTTGTTTTGAAATTTACAGCTTTGCCCAGATTACTTTAAATTGCAGTCACAAGAACAGTAACAACAATTAAATTAAAATGAGAAGAATGCATGTTCGGCATTAGTGGCAAGTTGCAGATTCATTTGTTGGTTAGGTAGAGAAGAAGGGGGGGACGGGGGTGGGGGCATGGTGGAGATACACCGTGGAGACGCAGACTGAAGGACCATGACATCATCAGTTACGACCCCAACCTTAACCTGTGGAATTAAAATATGTGATTTTGTTGTATTAGATTGTTCTCCCAAGTCCAACAATAAGAGAAAAAGAAAATGATCACAACGATTATTATGACTGGCACAGTTAAAAAAGGGTTCTCAAATGGGTAGGATGGCCAGTGATGACTTCACAGTTTGTGTCATGCAGAAAATTTTATCAGTAGGCTCTTAAAAGGATATCATTGTACAGTAAAAATATAGATGGACAGCCTACGGGTCTAAAAAATAAATTCATGCTAAACACCTCAAACCTGCATGCTTTCTAAGGTTAACAGGTCACGGGTTGTCTGAGTGCAAAAAATAAAATAAAATAAATAAATATCAATTTGAGAAAACCATAGTACTGCTAAACTGATCTATAACCTCAATAAATATTTTCTCAATTGGCTTATTGGCCTGTGCTGGTTTCGTATGGTCTTCTGATGTAAAGTATATAATACAGCTTTGAATGCATTGCAAAAAACTAAACTTTGCACTTTAGAGTCCATCCAATCAATCTGCTTTGTTTACTTGTCTGGGTTTGGTAACCATGAACCCATCATTGCATGTTAGTTCTTTTTTTTTTTTACGTAACTCTGTTCAGGTCCTCTTATCTGAACATAGTCAGTAAAAAAGTAGGAAATTCAGCAACAGCTCTGGAAAAATTCAAACCAGCAGAAACATCATCATGAAGAGTATATTGTTATTGCTCCTGGCTGTAGCCAAGTTGAAGGATAGTGGAATGGACAGCTACTATGGTGTCAGCCTGTCAGACTGCCTGGTCTTAGAGCTTAATGACTTCATACCCACTAAGATGATGTGTTTGGGGTGAGAATTTCTAGTTTAACTTTACATAAAACTTACCTGTATATTTTTGTGTTGGAAATAAAAATGTTCTAATAATAACACATATTAGACATGCAAGAATATTGCTTTCTGGGTTAAATTTAGTTCAATGCCTCTTGAATCCACTGGTTCAGCTGCAATTTGGGTTAAAATTATGATTAGATTATTATTATGATGTAAGAAACTTCATTTGAAAGCAAAAAAGTTCTAGTTGATGAACTTCGTACACGTGATGTATGCTGCTTGCAAAAAATGAAATAATGTCTTTTTTTCTAAATTAGCATTAAGTCAGCACTTTGATTGCATTATAATATTATATCCTTTGGTGCTAGTTGGAAGTCAGCTTGGAAAAATTATGGAAAACAGGAACGTTTTCAGTATTTTTTTAAGAACTAAATACAAATGTCTGACTTTATAATCCTGAAATGTTGACTAGTGGTTTGCAATACTATAGATGAAAATAAAGGGCCAGTATTGCCAATATTGATACTTATAATTTATATAGATAAGTATTGAGATATGTATGATTTAATGAGATAAATCATCATCAATCTGGCACACTGAGAACATTCTGCTAATGTTACTAACTGTTAATTCCATAATATACTTACAACAACAAAACATGCATTTCATCTTTTTTGTGAATTTTGAAACTGTAGGTTTAGAAGACCTGGGATATAAATGTGTCTGTAAAGCACATTGGGTCAACTTCTGTTGTTTACATGTGATATATATTCACCTGAAATTTAACACATAACAGTATATTCAGACAGTTTACAGTTTGTTTGAGGCATATTTTTTCAATTTCTAATAAAATTATTTATTTAACACAATACAATTCGACACAATTCAGTACAGTCAATGTGTTACCTAACTATCTTTATCTAATCTATAGGAAACTGGCCTGTTAAAGTAACAAATGTGATGGTTAATAACACTTTAACCGTAGCTAATGCTGCAGATCAAACATTAGTCATGGCACAAATATTACTTTCACTTTACTTTCACACTATATGAGCTACCTGAGTATTTTTTGCCATTCTATGTCTTTCATGTCTTTATCTTGGTGTTGCCAGAGTAGAGAATTTCCTTCCAATACACAAAATTTTTGCAGTGTTTTAAATTGCACGTGTAAAGTAGCTGAACTTGTGAAAGAGAAACAAACTAAAGTATTGACCCTATCACTCTAGTATTGATTCAATAATAAACCTAGTGTTGTGTCAATACTATTGATATTTGGATAGATCCGAATATCAATAGTTTGAGTTTTGGTAGCTACCTGGGTTATTTGCCACTTCAGTATGTAAGAACAGCAACAACACACAGAAAACAATCAAGAATTTGCAGGATGTCATTGATGATGATTCCGTAATCTGTTAGTGAAATACATTTTAAAAGTAACCCTAACCTCACCAGACTGTTATGAACTTCCTTCATACACCCCTCTGGTACCTAACTCCCATTTACTTTTTATCCCTCAGCCACAATAGGCTGATTTTCAAATATATACTATAGGTGCATCTACTAAAACTATCAGACAACTTTGAATCTTAGTGACCTCAACCTCAACAGATCAACCTCAACACAAATGCTCAGGATCTGGGCATTTGTAATCTCCTTGACTGATTGTAATAGGATTATCAACATGAAACAATATTCCATGCATTTTTGTTCCTTTAAGCTCTCGTCTCATTGTGACTTTTTTTCATCCTTGTATGTTTACCTAGTGACTTAGCAGCAGATCTGTTGAAAATATAAGATTATATTAAACTGTATTGCTGTATTCTTCACTAGCGTTTAAAGACCGATGAATGGCAGTGACTGCAAATATAGTTCTTGCATATTCAAATGATTCAGAACTGATAGACACTAAGAGAAAAGTTACTGTTACACTGCTGTTATGTATTAGTTATATGCATGTCAAAATAAATAAATAAAAAATAAATCACATGACTAAGTAATAAGTAAAGAGGTTAAGAGAAAGAAAACAAATAATATTGTTGAATAACTTTTGTACAGCCTTCATGGAACAACACAGTAACAACACGGTGGTAGTCTTTTTAGAATTTGTAGTTTCATTACAGCAGACCCATTTCTGCAGCATCCGTCATCACAATGTTAAATAGTCATTATGGTACAATATTCTTTTCTTCCCATTTCCTTATGAGTTCTCCTTCACATCCTTCCTTCACCTCATAATTGGTTTTTTTTTCATTGACACTGTGGGAGACTTAAAAGCCTGTGAGCAGAAGAGACTCAGCTTGATGAGTATTGAGTTAAATCGGGCTCTCTGAAATTTGTTTAATAATCCCAGGAGTGTCAGAATGGTGATCGATGATTCATTTAAGGTGACACATTCAAACATTTATCATCTCACACACATGAGCACACACGCCCAGTAAAGAGTCTTTGTTTGGCTGGCATGCAGCTTTTAGTAGCTTTTTAGAATTTTAGTACCATGGGAACATTTACTGGATATTGTTTTATAGTGACATTATGCAGGAAAACTCTGTCATTCAATAAGGCCCCTTTGTTTTAGTTATTTTTCTCTTTGACCCAAGAGTTGATGTGTGAGAATCACAGGCTGGTACAAGGTTGAAATACCACAGAGATCACTCCCTCAGCTACATTAGTTTCTTAATCTTTTAGACGCCTGTTGAAGGCCAAATGGTTTGTTTCAGATTTCACTAATGTAAGAACTCTTTGTTTTGTGCCTTGAAAATATGTCGCTGAGATAATCACAATTGTAGCTGAACTAATAAACTACACAAAGGATGCTTCTTCACCCAAGGGCAGGAAGACGCTCCCTTATCTTGGTCTGTACTGGTTTAACTGATAAATCTGCTGTCTCATGAATTTTACCCTCTATATAAACTGTTGTACTTGTGAATAAAGTTGAGTCACTTTGGGAAGACAATCTAAAGCAGTCTCTGTTTTCTTGTTCTCCCAAGCTGCTCCCGAGCTCGTACTAACACGCTGAATGGCATGCTTGAATATTACTTGAGAATATATTTGACTGTGTTACAGACTAAGGGACATTCTCTGCTGATAGGTGAAGGTACATTCTCTGCTGATAGACGTCCACGCCTCGAAGGAAGTCGATCCACGGATTAGGCCCTGGAAACCGTTTCCTTCACAGCTGAAGTCACAAGTTTTATATTTCATCAGCCAACACCACCTACCAGTCTATCACAGTCTCTGCTTCTTTGTCATGAGTAGAACCTGGAAGGGGTGGGGACAGCAGGCGTTACACCTGAATTTAAAACATCTTATATTATATTTAGATTTTATTCCAACTATAGTAACAATACTTATAAATAACCACACTTAAAAAAATTCAAAAGTCAATAAGGGTGGGGTTCATCCACTGAATCTAAACTGGTAAGTTACGGGGATATTTTGCATCTTATTCTTCTTACTTCTACGTGACTTGGTAAAATGGAGAGCAGTGATATTGAGGGAGAGGAATCAAAGACTGTCTGGGAGGGCAGACACATGATTGTCCAGTATGAACTGTGGAGCAGGCCAACATCGAGAGACCAGGTGTGTAAAACGTGAATTGCGAAAACTGAGTCCAAGGTGTGTAACTGAAGATGCAGAAAATTTACATTAACACAAGAAGAAACAGATTTGGGTTTTTTTGTAACCACACAACTTCCTTGTCATTGGGATTTATGTCTGGTTTCTTTTCTGTTCTGATCATTATCTGTAATCACATGAGACTGTTCTGACTCAAATCATGCTAATCAAGTTCAAGAGAGACGAGCAAACCACCTGAGCTCACCTGCAGGTAAAATTGTGTTTGAAAATCCCAAAGAAACCCTAAGGGCTGATCTCTTCAGAATTCAAATACTAAGACACACATTTCTGACATTTTTCTTTATATTTGTTATAAACATTACCATAAATCAGGCGCTGTGTCAGTGATCAGTTTAACAAAGTCCTGCCTGCAGAGCACAAGTTTGTCAAAAAACAGTTTAAGTAGTAGTAGTGCCATTTTGGGGAGCATTTCAAGATGCTATACATCAATACAACTGTTATATCCCAAATTGTATTAATATGTGTGCAATAAGACCATATTATCTACATAAATTGCAAAAAGCTGCAATAAACTACAAAGAAATTAAAAATCATTTCTTTTTTTAACACATATTTCCAGTGATGGTAATAATGGAGTTACTGACAGCATTACTTTTTTCAGTAACCAGTAATCTAACGAATAACTATTTCTATCGTTACAATGCAGTTACCGTTACTAAAAAGAAAATGCGTTGCGGTCGCGTTACTATTTTTCAGCAAACAGTTGGTTGAAGCTGTGTTTAGCTTACCGCATCTTATATCAGTTGCACGGAAGTAGCTGTAAGTAATCTGGGCACTACAGCTTTAAGCAGCTGCGCGCTCCCACGGGTGGCAATCGCATTCTCTAATGTGGAGCCATTACCTCTGAAATAAACAGCATCACTGAGAGTGTGCTCAGTAATAAAATAATTAGTCAGAATCAGTTCCGAATGTGAATTTTAATGTGAATTTAAATGTTTAGCCACTCTGCTAAATCATCAGATTACTGAATTTCTGCAGCATTCATCTCTTTTCTTATTTTAGTTTTACACCTAATGTTTATATAAGTTATATTTTTTATTACCTTAACAAATTTTTAAACATTTCCTCTTTTATCATCATCACCATCTGATAAGGTCTCTGATTGCAATAGACTGCATTCATAGGGATCATTTTTCACAGAAAGACTCACATGATTCATGACATGTCAGAAGAATTATTTGAACAATTTATGTAAAGAGCTATATATAGTTTGCATCCAGCCATGTTCTGTATTACTTCAAATATTGGCTGATAGTTTGACACTGTTTTTATTTTTGTATCAACATTTGTGTGTCAAATCTGTAAGCACTGTTCTGATGTTTTTGTGATTGGCATCTTAAAAATACAGTGCATTCTGGATCTACGTTCTTTGTTGTCATTTATTTTTGTTACAATGTATTTTAGAAACTTTCACATCTATAAATAGGTTGTAAGGTATATATAGTCCCCACGTTAGATGGGCTCACTCAAAATACTTTACTAACAAGTAGCAAATGGTTTGTAACTTCCTAAATAAGTTTATTAAGGTATTTAAGAGTATATAGATAATCTATCGAAAAAGAAGTTGATCAATAGTGAGTTACAGCTTTGGCAGCCTTTAAGTGACAGTTATAAATGTATTGTAAGACATCTGTTAAGCTATAGCAGCTGACTGATGTAACCCTGACATTCAGTGTTAATAAAACATCTAGTATGAAACTAGTATGTGCAGTACATGTAGAGTTTATAGTATTACATAGATTATGTTAAGCATCTACTTACCTGTTACCAATGATTTTGTATACCATTGAACATCCTGAAATGACTGGTTTGTAACTGATGCAGAGTAGCATCTATAAATGATTAATGAGTTTTAGAAAAGGAAAACAGAATTAATAAAAAAGTGTTATACATTAGCTTATTCATCTTGAATAAAGTGTTTAAAACAGTGCTTGTAAACTATTAACTGATTATGAGAAATACTTTGTAGATGTTGTAGAGATAATTAAGTAACCATTAACTAATGCTTAATAGTGTGCACTTATTATAAAGTGTTACTCAAAAACTTGAAACAACCATAAATAATAATGAATCCATTAATTATAAGAGATCTATACCAATTATGTTTTTGTAATTCTCAGGACATTTCTTTTTCAACTGAGACTTCTCCTATAGATCTCATAAATGGAAAGAGAAGGTTCAAGCTTAGTCAAAGAGCATGAGCTTGATATAAGACCTGGTTTCCACAGACGGATACAATGAAAAGGTCAAAGTTTCTTTTTGCTCCGTACAATAATCTCTGAACTGTAACGTGCTGCTCACATGTAACAGGCACTGTTTGACTGTGAAATAGCCTCTATACGATTCGTCAAAATCCTCTGTTTCATTTAGTTATATTTTGATACTTATAATTTTATAATTTTACACACACACACACACACACACACACACAAAAAAAAAAAAAAAAAAACCTCTCTTGATTCATGCTCAATCACCCAGATAAGGAAATCACAGAATGTTGATGATGTCCCTCTGGAAGAAGCCTACTGGGAAAAATACTTCCCACAGGCAGTTAGGTTTACGACCCAGCTGTGGAACGGGGTGGGGCCTGTCCCCTCAGGTCCACCCACTTCACATATATTGAGAGGTTTTCAGGAATGCATTTTATTATATCGTATGTTATGTCAGATTGTTTTTGTAAGACCATAAATGGGTTTAGATATTGCATGCAAATAATAATAATAATAATAATAATAGTAATATATACCACTGAATTGTGATTCGAAGACTAAAAGGGCGATTTTCTGTCTACACGCAAAACATGTTTAAAAACAGCCACACAGTCTTTTCAGCAATGCTGTGGACTCTTGCCTCAGCTTCTGAAGGTAAGGTGAAATCAAACTAGTGAACTATGTGAACTGAGTTATTTCATAATGAAAGAGTAATCTGTTTTTGGTTTTAACAGACTGTCGAGCAGCTGGCTGCAGATAGATGTTGTTTGTCCTAGCTTAGAGTAGAGCTCTGTCTCATGGCAGTTTGTTTAAAACTTGTTTCCAGTTTTGTCTTATCTTTCCAACTTTACTATCAGACATGTGACTGCTCACATTTTTTTTTATTTTCTGAGTTTGAAATTCTCATGTTGTGCCTGTTTCCAATCAAACTATGTGGTTTTTTATCGGTACCTAGATCTCTCTAAAACAGATCTCAGTGAGAAGACCTGTTTAAAAAAGGATTTGATAATAACTTGAGCAGTTATCATAAGGAGTTATAAATTTAGGGAAAAACAACATGGAGATAATCATGAATCAAATCGAATTAAGAACTGCTTGAAGATGTATCTGGCGCTTTCCAACACTAACCCACATCTTTGCTATCATAACAAGTAGCTCCACTGTGTATCAGTGCAATGGCAATAGAAATGAGATGATGTACTTTGAACATTCATTTTCTCCATTCTGTGTCTTTTCCCTTCTTTCAGACCAGAATAATATCACAGCTGAGTTTGTACAGAACGTTACTCTAACATGTCAAGCTCCAAACAACGACATGATTGGTGTAATGTGGAGGAGAGCTGACCTGGGGGGAAAATATGTCTATTTGAACCGCGAAGGGCAACCTCAGCCACAAGAGCAGCATCCATCTTTTAAGAACCGGGTGGATCTTAAAGACACACAGATGAAGGATGGAGACGTGTCTTTGATTCTGAAGAATGTGACACTTAATAATACTGGAACATACGAGTGTCGTGTCTTCATCGATGAAACACACCCGTGGAAATCCATCAGCATCATCTACCTGAGTGTTATTGATCCTCCAGGTGAGTGAGTAGAGTTGAGTGTGTGTGTGATCAGAGGTGAAGTTGTTGATGAATAAACAAAGCTGTTTCTCACCCGCAGATACACCAGGAGGACTCTTTCAGGATCGATCTGTTGGAGTGGAAGTTGGTCTGATAATTCTTGTGATAATGATTGTTGGAGTGATTATTTTTGTGGTTTGTTTTGAGATCAATGGAAAGCGACAAAAGGCAGAAAAATGTCTGGACTTGAAAGCGAAATATAAATGTTTAATTGGAGCTCTAGAAAAAGGAGAGGCTGCTGTACCCACTTTTCATACTAGTCAATTTGGTAATTAATTTCTATGTATATGTTTATATTTGTCATTGGTGTTTTAAATTGTGGCAGTGTGTGGAATGTGGGTCAGCTCTGTGCAAATATTGAACGCAAGTATCATGAAAAATATCAACAAATACATTTAAAATATAAACAGATGAAGATAAAACTCAATTTAAACATGTTTACAAAGGTGAAAAAGCAAAATTAATAAATAATTTTCAAAAAGTAGTGTGATGTGTGTATTTTTGTCTCTGACTGCATTGTTTTTTGTATATGAAAATGATGAGATAAGTTACTTTTTATCTGATTGCTCAGCTGTGACCCAAGGCCCAAACCTTTAATCCCATTAGAGTATCTCAGGGCAGATTAGCTCATGCTGTGCTTTATTTGCGTGTGAAGCCTGATAAGTTTATCTAGTTTGAAATTTTCCATTTATTATAGAAGCGATAATCACTACACAGGGTCAAAGGCACCGAGACAAACTGCAACACTAAAATGTTAAAAACCCAGCAGATCTTTAGACACTAAGTAAAAAACAAAGTCATAAATCAGGCTTCATATTCATCATCAGATGAACAACGCCCTTCCCGTAAATCACGGGTTTGTCGAGCTGATAGTAAATCTAAACATTAACTTTCTTAACTTGTCCGGGACGTGCAGGCCAAGTTTTTCTGTTTGAAGTCTCTAATGCAGTCATGTGTTGTTTGACAAAGTGTGTTTAAGAAGAAGCAAATTATTAGGCTGATGGCAAACATGCAAACAAAAGCAGAAAAACAAAAAAACAAAAGAAGAAGCTAAAACTACAAGACACAGGTGCACTAAATCACAAGACATTAGACAAAGGAAGCAAAACTAAAAGCAAAGCACAAAAACAGAAAAGTACACACAGAACAAGGAAATAGCAGGAGGCAATGAGACAAATCTGGTGGCTTGGTCAAAGGCTGCTGGCAATGCAGCAACAGAGGTGGAGGGACTCAGAACTAGATGGTGCAGAACTCCTGGACTTAGGTGTATGTACAGGTGATAAAGGGGAGACTGGACAGGGTTCAGGTCATGTGCGTCATTTGGAAGGTCTGCATACACACACAATAACAGTTTTTGGGGTGGTCTGCAAAGGTGCACAACAAAGTGATTCAGATAGAATCGACCCAGAAACACCATTAACAGTTTCTGTTCATAAAAACAGAAAAATGTAATCTCTGACTGGGCAGACTGAGAAACACAGGCAGTCACGACACACGCTAGCTTAGGAGCACAACAAAAGGTTTGGGATGGAGATAATTAAGGGAGCATTAGTAACATAGGCAAACTCTGATAGGTACATACAATCTCTGCATGCCATTGGCAAACTGACCTATACACGCAAACTCTGAGAGATAAGCACAGTGGATGATGTCAGAATAAAGAATACAAAAAGCCACAGATATACTCAGCTCAGAAAAAGGTTTTCTGTTATTAAAAATAAAACCATGTAAATAGAAATAAAACCATGAAAGTCTAAAGAAAAGAGAAAGGAAGTGCACAATTAATTCATTACAAATTTTATCTGTTAATTTTTAAGACAAATGACTGACGGTGTGTTTCGTTAAGAGGAAAACCAGGAACTGAGTCAGACATCAGTCACTTGTCACAAGATATGATATCTATGGCAACTGTACTGGGGAAAACAACAACATAAAATACAACTTAGTGTACCACAAGTTTTTGCCCAGATTTACAAGTTGGGATTGTTCGCGTTTTACTTTTTTCACTTAAAAAAAATGCAAACACACTAGTTTTTGTCTCCATGGCTGTGCTGCTGTAGCTCTGGTGGCAGAGTGGGTCACCTACTGAGTGGAAGGTTGGTGGTTTGATCCCAGTCTGCTCCAGTCTGCATCCCAAATATCCTTGGACAACATACTAACTCCATGTTGCTTTCTGATGCATGCATCGGAGTGTGAATGTGTGTGAATGTTAGATAGAAGCACTAAAAAGCTTAGATAAAGTGCTTGTGTGAATGGCTGTAACTATGTGAATAAATGAGTATTATAAAGTGCTTTGACTGCTCAGACAAATAAAATTGTTGTTTTGTTTTGTCGGTCATGGCTTTTGGTAAGTAATCATTAATCTAATCTGATAAGATCTGCTTCAAAATGTCTTTGGCTCCTTCTGACAGTAAACCACAAATCCAACAAGTAGAGTTCAGGGTTCCCTTTCTGTATACAGTGGGGCAAAAAAGTATTTAGTCAGCCACCGATTGTGCAAGTTCCCCCACTTAAAATGATGACAGAGGTCAGTAATTTGCACCAGAGGTACACTTCAACTGTGAGAGACAGAATGTGAAAAAAAAAAGACCCAGCCTCGTTTCATCTTCAAAGTTCTCACTGATGGAAGGAGGTTTTGGCTCAAAATCTCACGATACATGGCCCCATTCATTCTGTCCTTAACACGGATCAGTCATCCTGTCCCCTTGGCAGAAAAACAGCCCCATAGCTTGATGTTTCCACCCCCATGCTTCACAGTAGGTATGGTGTTCTTGGGATGCAACTCAGTATTCTTCGTCCTCCAAACACGACGAGTTGAGTTTATACCAAAAGGTTCTACTTTGGTTTCATCTGACCACATGACATTCTCCCAATCCTCTGCTGTATCATCCATGTGCTCTCTGGCAAACTTCAGACGGGCCTGGACATGCACTGGCTTCAGCAGCGGAACACGTCTGGCACTGCGGGATTTGATTCCCTGCCGTTGTAGTGTGTTACTGATGGTGACCTTTGTTACTTTGGTCCCAGCTCTCTGCAGGTCATTCACCAGGTCCCCCCGTGTGGTTCTGGGATCTTTGCTCACCGTTCTCATGATCATTTTGACCCCACGGGATGAGATCTTGCGTGGAGCCCCAGATCGAGGGAGATTATCAGTGGTCTTGTATGTCTTCCATTTTCTGATGATTGCTCCCACAGTTGATTTTTTCACACCAAGCTGCTTGCCTATTGTAGATTCACTCTTCCCAGTCTGGTGCAGGTCTACAATACTTTTCCTGGTGTCCTTCGAAAGCTCTTTGGTCTTGGCCATGGCGGAGTTTGGAGTCTGACTGTTTGAGGCTGTGGACAGGTGTCTTTTATACAGATGATGAGTTCAAACAGGTGCCATTCATACAGGTAACGAGTGGGGGACAGAAAAGCTTCTTACATAAGACGTTACAGGTCTGTGAGAGCCAGAGATTTTCCATGTTTGAGGTGACCAAATACTTATTTTCCACCCTAATTTACGAATAAATTCTTTACAAATCCTACCATGTGGATTCATGGATTTTTTTTTCACATTCTGTCTCTCACAGTTGAAGTGTACCTCTGGTGCAAATTACTGACCTCTGTCATCATTTTAAGTGGGGGAACTTGCACAATCGGTGGCTGACTAAATACTTTTTTGCCCCACTGTATCATCACACTAATCAATGAGAAGTTGCACTTTGACCTTTTCACTCTCTGTTTTTTATTCTTGTCATTCTTTCAGACCAAATCATCAGAGCTGGAAACAATACCACTCTGATGTGTTGAGCTTCAAACACCTCCATCATAGCCGTGGAGCAGCCGTGACATGAAAGTAGAATATGTCTTTTTAAGCTGAGACGACCACTTTGACCCACACAACCAGCATCCATCTTTTAAGAACCAGGTGGATCTGCAGGACAGAAAGATGAAGGATGGAGACGTGTCTTTGACTCTGAAGGAAGTGACGATTTAAGACACAGGGACATACGAGTGTCGTGTCTTCATGGAGGAAACACGTCTGTGGAAATCCATCAGCACCATCAGCATTAGTGTTGCTAATCCTTCAGGTGAGTGAGCTTATTGTGTCTGTCATCAAAGGAGAAGCCAGCTGTTGATGTTGTTTTCTAATGATGATCTAATTGAGACTTTGTAGAAATCAGCTGACACTTCACACCTGTTTCTAACCTGCAAGTCCAGCAGGAGCGCTCGTAAAGGGTCGATCTGTTTGAGTCATTGTTGCTCTGTCAATTACAGCTGTAGTGAATTTGTGGCTTTTGTTATCTATAAAAATCGAGAAAAAACTGGAAAAAAAAAACCTCCCACTCAATCTTGCCATAACCAGACACGGCTGTTTTTCTGTAGGAGTAAAGAAGCTAATGTAACATCATCATTAGTGTAATATATCCCATATTGAGAGGAAGGGATGACTTCAATATAATATTCAATAGCCCTCGACATTTAACTCTAACTAATGAGATCAACTATCAATCCTGTTTTTGTAGCAGCCAGAGCGGTTTGGGCTACAACATGCATTTACTGCATTCAGTGACTTCCCACTATGAGCCCTTTACTCTCATACTGTGCAGCCAGAAACTGGCACAGGGTTCCTACTTTTAAAATAATAAATTAAATTAAAATGTGGGAAACTCCAAAGTAAATGCTAGAAAACAGAAAAAACATCCATTAAGTACAGTCTCTTAATAGTTCTCAGGACTCAGAACGTGAGTGTTGATCAGTGCAAAAGTTGGTGTTTTGTTTTTTTGTTTTTTTTAATTATTATTATTATTATTTTTAAAAAGAGGGGATAAATTATTCTTTTGTTCATTTATTCATTTATTTATTTATTGATACTTGGAAAAAAACTGAAGAGATTGCTATGCTGGACCTTTTGCTGAAGTGGGTGGGCCTAGAGAGCCAGGGCCCACCTGTGTAAGGTGGAGTATCACGGCACAGCTGTGTATAAATTCAGAGACGCAAAGTGGAAATGCTGTTGGTGGTTCTGTGTGTATTCAGAAAGGTGCAGTTATAACTACTTGCACTATCACAACTTTTTGCTTCAGTAAAATCTGTATCAGGTTTACAGGATCAAAACAGGAGACAGTGCCTGTAAAAATTGTTGGATTGATTCAGAGAGTGCCTCTGTGCACCTCATTTCATAACGAAAGGGCAACTTTCTGGGTGCCCACAGAAAATGCTGAACATCAAACGCACAGTCTCTGTGGCTGTGCTTCTAGGCCTTATCTCAGCATCTCAGGGTAAGATTATTCCTGTATTATTCACAATCAAACAGCTTCTAATTGTTCTCACTGAACAGCTGCTGCTAAAAGCTGCAGAGTCTCTGAAGCACAATTATTGTACTTGTATTGCGTTTTCACTTAACTGTGATTTAATTTATCATGTTCTTTAAGATCAGTTAGATTTGAGAAATGATTAATGGACT